ATTAAAACAAACAAGAAAAAGATGCCGCTGCTGGTTAGTGGGTGGGGGCGAGGGGCCGCTCAGACCCAGATGTGGCTGAGCACTTGCGTTTGCCTGGCATGGTTCGGCAGCCATCCACGCGGGCCCTGTCTATGCTACATTTATTCACCTGCCAGACTTTTTAATTTAAGTTCTTTAATGGTGACCAGCACTATTCAGGTTTTTACATCTTTTTAAAAATTATTTATTTTTTTTTTTATTGCTTAAAGTATTAGAAAGGGAGGTTTTTACATCTTGAATCTGTTTTATGAATTTACATTTTTGCTAGGAATTTGCCTTTTTCCAAATTTTCAAAGTTATTGGCATGTAGTTATTAATAATATCCTCTTACTGTTTTAGCATCCGCACTGTCTGTAATAAAGTTCTCTTTCTCAGCCCTGATGTTAATGATCTGTGCCTCCTCTTTTTCCTTGATTAGCTGCATCAGAGGTTTGTTGATTTTATTTGCATTAATTTCTATTCCTCTCTTTATTCTTTACTTCTTTCTACTTTCGTTGGGTTTACTTTGCTAACTTTTTAAATTTCATGAGATGAATATTTAGCTTGTTAATTTTTAGGCAATTTATTAATTTTAGGTAATTTCTAAGCACTTCAGAATTTTCTTATCTTACTGTTATTGATTTCTAGTTTAACTGTATTGTGGTCAGAGAATATACTCCATATGGTCGGAATCTGTTCAATTTTGTTGAGACTTGCTTAAGTTTGTAAATGTTCCTCGTGTGCTGGAAAAATAATGTATTGTTTTCAATGTTTTATATGTGTCAAGTAGGATAAGGTCTTTTTATTTGTGTTGTCTAAATACTTTATATCTTTAATTTTTAAATACATTTGTTCTATGAATTACTGATACAATTATACAAAAAATAACCCACTCTGATTGTAGGTTACATCTACTTTATTTAATTGTCAATTTTTACAATTTTTACTCTATAACCTTTGACATTATGTTGGTGCATAGAAAGGTAAAATTATTATCTGGTCCGAAATGAAATCTTTTGTGAAATGCCCTCTTTAATGTTAGTAATGCTTTTTGCCTTAAATTTTATTTTGACTGCTATTAATAGAGCTACACCAGCTTCCTTTTGCCCAGTATTTGCAACGTACATGTTTTTCTGTCCTTTTGTTTAAGAGAATTCGTTTTAGAAATTCAATCTGATGATCTTTAACTTCTAAGTGGAACAATTAATGTAATTAGTCTCCTTGTGCTCACCGTAATGGCTGATATGTTAATAAAAACAAGTCCACCAGCGTGGAGGGTGCTGCTGAGAGCGCTCTGCTGGGTTGCAGACTGTCCACTTCCCGTCGTGTCCTCACATGGCAGGAAGGCAGCGAGTGGCTCTCCGGCCTCACCCTGTAAGGGCAGTAATCCCATCCACGAGGGCTCTACCCTCCAGACTTAATTACCTTCGGAAGCCCCCACCTCCAAACAGCCCCACATCGGGCGGTTAGGATTTTAACCTATGAACTTTGGAGGGACACAAACATTCAGTCCATAACACATAGTGCATCTCTCCACGTATGTGGGTCTTTGTTGCTTTCTTCAAATAATATTTTATATTTTTCAGTCTACAGATCCTACATATACTTTGTTAGATATATACCTAAGTATTTCTTTGATTAGTACTACTGTAAATGGCACCTTTTTTACCTGTCAATTTTTAATTCTTCATTGTTAGTATATAAAATTACAGTTTTTAAAATATTGACCACGTATTTAGTGCCAACTTGCTAACCTTGCTTAAGAGTTCTAGGTACTTTTTTGATATTTTCTATAGTCAGAGTCTTATTTCTTCTTTCCACCTGGATCCCCTTTATTTCTTTCTCGTGCCTTATGGCCCTGGCTGGGTGCTATGAGACTTCTTATGGTTCCCTGTTACTTCCATATATTTTCAAACTTTTATTTGTTATCTTCAACCATAGTGTGGTGATTGTTTTATAGCATGTATTTGATAATTCTGATACTCAGCGCCGTTGTGTGTCTGTTTCTCTTTGCTGTGTATCAGTTCGCTAGGATTGCCGTGATGGAAGTACCACAGACTGGGGGCCTAAACAACAGAGCTGCTATGTATGGTCTCAGTTCTGGAGGCTACATGTCTGAGATCAAGGTGTCGTTGGCATGGTTAGTTCCTTCAAAGGGTTATGATGGAGAACTCTATTCCGTGTCTCTCCCCTAACTGTGGGTGTTTGCTGCCAATCTGGCATTCTTTGCCTTGTAGCTGCCGTCACCCTAATCTCTGACTTCATCTTCACGTGGTGTTCTCCGAGTGTGTGCCTACATCTCAATTTCCCCTTTCTATAAGGACATCGGTCACCGTAGATCGGGGGCCCACCTACTCCAGTATGATCTCGTCTAAACCAACTACCTCTGCAAAGACCCAGTTTCCCAATAGGGTCACATTCTGAGGTCCTGGGGGTCAGGACTAGAATATATGAATTTTGGAGGCACACAATTCAACCCATAACAGGTTGGTTCTCATTCATGGTGCTTGTTGCCCAATTTGCCTGGTTATCACTGACAAGTGTGTCATAGAACTGACAGTACTAATTACTAACGTAGTAATGTGGAGTCTAGATAGAAGGCACCTTCCTTTAGAGAAGACTGCTTCCTTCTGCAAGGTACCTCAGGCCACCTTCAGTCTAGAAATACTCTGAGCCAAGCTCAAGGCTTGAGAGTCTCTGAATTACCCAAGTGATGCAAACGCACGCTATAAATCCACACAACTATGACCGACCTCTGGTTCACACTTATTCAAATTTTGTGGCTCCTCAGGCCCCCAGCTGGTTTTAGGGAAGGTCTTCTAGTAGGCGGCCCACCTTGTACAGGTCTGTACTTGACATATGACCCTCTCCCTCTCCTACTACTTCATGAAGACAAAAATGAAACTCGAAATTTCCAAGATTGGTAAATGATCTGAGGGCAAAGGTGGCTTCTACGCTCAGGTTTCCATTTTTCTCTAATTCTGGGCTCATCACTTCTTATGTGTACTTTTAAAAAGGGTTTAAAAGAATGCTCTTATCTAGAATTTTACATTTTAAATGGGAAGAGGTTGAATAACTTGCTTCACTATTATTTGGAAAAAAAACTTAGTTTCTCTCTTTCTTTTTAAAAATAAATTCTTCATGGTGACCTCGGTAAGTACCCCAAACTAGTAGTTATGGATGTAGTTTCAGGTGAATGAACTACTTCTTTAAACAGTATTTTCTTGTTTAAAATCAGTACTAATTCAGTGTCCCATAATGTGAAATTTTGCAACTCACTTTTTCTCGAGGTTAACTAAAAAAAACCCCTACCTTATTATCTGTATTGGGGGGGGGGTTACCTATTCAATTATGATAAAGAAAAAGTAGTTCTAACATGGAATAATAAGAAAAAGCTATCTATAATCTACCTATATGATATTTATTGAAATGTGACAGAGAAAAAGCAGTCCTAATTTAGAATAAGAAAAATCTATTGAAAATGTATGAAATAGAGTCTTTAATAGAATTAGTAATCGGAAGCTAGAATTTAATATTATTGAAGCTATTTCCCCTGAACTATATTTAAAAATGACTACTAGCATTTTGACTTTAAAGAGAGAGAGATGGAGGCCTTTGTTACCAAAATAAGGTGAGTATAAATGGCTAATCTATGGAAAAGGTACATTGTAGGAAGATTGATGATTTTTAAGGTCAATTTTACAACTCTATCAAGACATAAATAGCAATATATGAGTAGTGGTAAACCAATCAAATAATCGGGTAACTCTCAGGACATGTTGTGAGATGGTGCTTCATGGGCCTGGCATTTAGCTCAGTAGAGGATATAATAAGGTCTCCTGAAAAAGAGTAGCCATAAAAGAGGATTCAAAGGCTTTGTTATTCTATTCTTCTGGATGATCAGGCTACCTCATACGTTGCCAACCTCCTGCTGGTACCTTCAGATGTTCTTGGATAATAAACGATTCCACTGCACCTCTCAAGTCAATCAAACATGGGGATGGGAATGAGGAAAATGACTCTAACCCGCCCTCCATGTCTGACAGAAGCAAAGGAGGACCCCCGGCATTGCAGGTCCTCTGGCCTCGGTATGAAGGACCCAGGGGGTGTCTGAGCATGCTGTGAACTGAACCCCCACTCTCCATGCAGAGAACCCCAATGGCCTGGTTCCGTCAGCCCCTCCCCCTGCCCCACAACCCAGTGAGGATTCTCCCCAGAGCAGGGGAAGCGAGGCCTTACCTGTGCTGTCCTCCCCCAGGCCTTCGGCAGCCTCCCGAAGCTTAAAGTCCATCACCCGTGTGGAAATCATGTCCAGTTCCCTAAAACCAGATGGAAATTCACATTAAAGGAACATGTTTAACAGAAGTTAACAGTGAGAAAAATGGTGGTGGTGACTGCTTTTTGTCTATGACCTAGCCTGCCACACCAGCAAAGGCAGATTCTATGGCAGAATACGGGACAGTACAGCCCCAAACACATCGACAGCTCAAGATTAGTAACCACACAGGCATTTAACCATTCGCTGACAGAGCAACTGCATAGAAAACAGATAGCAGGAACAAATGCTTCACCCATTTAGTTGCAGAACAGCCGCAGAGATGTGGTTTACAGCACGGGGAATGTAGTCAATGATATCAAGACAGATGGTATGGGCCAGGGGGGCGGGGGTAGGGGCTTGAGGCAGTGGGGGACCACTGTGCAGAGCACGTGATTTTCTGGACACTTTGTTGTACATCTGAAGCTAATACAGAATGGGGTTGGATGTAAACTGAAATAAAACAAAATATCCTTTAACTAGTTTACAGAATGCAGATTTGGTTCCTTTCCCTCAAAAAACAACAACAACAAAAAACGTTTTCAGAAATTATGTTTTTCTCTTGTTCACTGTAGAAAGTTTAGAAGATATAGAGAATGAAAACCACCCACAGTCCTACCAGCCAAGGATAATCACAAGTAATGTTTTAATGTATTTCCTTCCCAGTATTTTCTGTGCAAATATTTGTATGTATACGCGCACACACCACATTAGGAAACTGACTTCCTGGTTTTCTTGCTAATTCTTCCTAAGGGTACTGTAATGGCTACATAAGATTTTGATATAAAGCCACATCATCATTGCTTTACACTGAGTTTCTTTTTTGAACTTTTCATTATGACAATTTTCAAACCAATACAAAATTGCAGAGAATATATAATGAACTTAACATATGGTCGCTGTAGTTTCAACTTTACGCCTTCTCCCCCTCCAACTCCCACGAGGTTATTTCAAAGCAAACCATCCCAGATATGATCATGTCATCCACACGTCCTTGACTTCTTCCTGAATAAAATGCCTCTGACTCTTCCCGGCAATCACATAAATGATTGCTGGCCGCTCTCCCTGCCGCAGAACACGGACCTAACCATACGCCTGCCTCCCACAGCTGACCTGTGAATGGCGCACTCTACCCCACTCACTAACGCACCATTTATTCGGAAAGCTATTCCTTACTGGCAGTTCCTATGGATCCTCACTTAAACGGGGGGCTCAGATGTTTAATTAACCAATTAACACTTGCCCCTTATGCACAGCACACAATGGGACACTATTTGACAGGGGAAAGGAGTCACAGGTCTGTGGCAGGGTCGGGTCTCATGTTTCGGTCTCCTTTAACATTAACGTCAAAATGTCCCTCTCCCCACCAGCCAATTCCTTAAAAAGATGAACAAAGCTTCATCAGCTTCACTTCTCTATTTTCATACAATTTAGCTCCATAAAAATGTCTGCCCAACAGAGCGAAAGGGGGAAAACCCACACGATCACCGCCACTGATGCAGAAAACCACCGGACAACATTCATGATAAAAACACTAAAAACAACTAGGAATAGGAGCAAACTACCTCAACATAACAAAGGCCATAGACTAAAAGCCCACAGCTTTTCTCATACTAAACAGAGAAAACGGGAAGCTTTTCCCCTAAGATCAACAACAAGACACGGGTGCTCACTCTCACCACTGTTACTCAACAGACTAGTGGTGCTGGAAGTCCTGGTCAGATCAGCCAGTCAGGAAAAAGGAACAGAGGACATCCATGTTAAAGAAAAGAAGTAACATTATCTCTGTTCACAGATGACATGATCTTTTACGTAGAAAATCCTAAAGATCCCCCCTCACAAAAACTGTTAGAATAAGTGAATGCAGCAAAGGTGCAGGATGCAAAATGAACACACAAAAATCAGTTGTGCTTCTATATACTAACAATGAGCAATCTGAAAAGATACTTAAGAAAACAGTTCCACTTATAATGGCATCAAAAAAGAATAAAATACTTAGGAATAAACTTAACCAAGGAAAGACTTGCACACTGAAAACTACAAAGTGTTGCTGAAAGAAATGAAACAAGACACAAAGAAATAGAGACATTTCATGTTCATGGATTGAAAGACTTAATATTGTGATGATGAATCGATGCAATCCTGTCGAAATCCCTGGTCCCATAGTATCCTGCTGCCCAGTGACATTATTGGGAGGAGGAGCAGCCACCAGGACATGTGAAGAAAGAGGCCAGAGAAGGGACAGCAGGAAACTATGAGGAGCAAGCAAGAGAGTGAAAATGGTCAGGACTGGTTCAGAGTCACCAGCCATGACCCTGGGTACCATCCTCTGCAGTTGCTTCTGAGCTAAGTACGAATGCCAGAGCTTTCTACTGCCTGAACTGGAAGTGACTTACCCAGCACGCGCATACCATCTGAAGTATATTGCTTAATCCTCAACAACTCCTAGTTTCCCCCTTTTGGAATTGAGACCATATATTATAGCCGACAGGCTTACTAACTGGCCCAAAGTAGCGAAGCAGAGATGCTGCCCTCTGTCCTCATGTTGGACATAGGTTGGCACAGGTACTATGTTGAGTGCATGTCCTCATGTTGGACATAGGTTGGCACAGGTACTATGTCGAGTGCATGTCCTCATGTTGGACATAAGTTGGCACAGGTACTATGTTGAGTGCATGTCCTCATGTTGGACATAGGTTGGTGCCGGTACTATATGCTGACTGCAAGTCCTCATATTGACCTCACACCCAGCATGGGCAAGCACCTTCAAGGCCTGGGATAGTGATGGATGAGACCGATGTCAGCAGCCTCTCGCAGGCGCTGACCCAGTGAAGGGACAGTCCTGAGATGTCCCCAGGGTGAGGCCAGGGGCCTAAGGCTGACATTCCCAGAAGATCAGTCTGACAGGGTCCCTGGGTCTGAGGGAAGGGGTTTGCGGCTGCCTTGATATGTCACCTAACACTCCTGAGTCACTATGGCGTTACCTTCAAAATGTCCGGTCACCTCTGGCCATTTTAATCAAACGCTCCTTGCTGGGAAGTGCTGAGAACGCGGAGGTGTATGTGAGTGTGTGTGCACTAGCCCTGTGGGTGGGTTGAAGGGCGCCCCACCCACTGAGCGGGCAGGAAAACCGGAAGCTCGCCCTTGCTCCTCCTGGGATGGATGACAAAGCCGCAGGCGTCAGAGGGCTGAGGAGTGGGGGGAGGGTGGGAGGCGGCCCCGCTCTCCACTTGCTGTATGCACATCCTGCTGGGCCCGGATGCAGAGAGCATGGCCAGAGGCCCAGGCTGCTAACGATTCACACACAGAGGCAAAAGCCACTCCATAGACAAAGGGATGACAGACTGGCTCACCTCATGTGGGAGGTTTGAAAACCTGCTCATGTTTCATGTTCCAAACACCTTCACACGAGCAAAAGTGCAACTGGGTGCAGAGGAAACGGACCAAAACGTGGAAGTCAGGCTGCCCTGGGACTGAGTCCTCAGCCCCCCACTTACCCTTGCCGAGCCTCAGTTTCCTCACCTACAAAACAGGGACAATAACCCTGCAACTGCCCGGGGCGGAGAACACAGCACAGACACGCACTCGCTGAGAACCGTGGGTGGTTTCCACAGCCTGTTCCTCACCACGCGCTCACACGTCAGCACCAACACAGACAGGAGCACGCACCGGCACGCCTGGCAGCAAATGTCCGTCTGCCTCACGAAGACACAGTGTCCTACACCAACGGCTCCCTTAGAGTCACTGTGATCGGTCAAAGACGAAGACACCTGGATTGGAAGATGGGCCCTGAGCTTCCCCAGGCCCCGCAGTCTGATGACAGTGGGTGAAACTGCTGCCAAGTAAGGAATGAAAACATTCCAGGCCCCCGGGGCGGGGTCAGCTGGGGGACAGCAGCCCTCCGAGATGTGGAGGGTGCAGATGGACGCGGTTGCCCCCCCACCCTCCTGCCCCTATTGTTCTGACAGCTCAAGTTCAAATACAGAAACACTTAGTCTTTAAATCTGGACCTGAGGTGCCTCTTCAGGGATTCTAATCAACTAGCCCTTCGCTCGGACACTCGGGTGGAAACCCTCCACGCGGTTACAGTGGGGAGCCTTCTCTGCGGGGCTCAATAACCTGCCCTTTCTGAAACATGTCCTCTCCTCCAACATTCAGGGAAAACCATTCACAAAGGCGCTGGGCCTGCAGTGCCCTGCGCTCCTCTGTGTGGATCTGGGCGCCCACGGAACCAGGAGAGACTTTCCTCCAAAGAAGGCCCCGTGGGGCTGTCCCACTTCCTCCCCCCGAACCCTCACTGCGACCACAGGCTGCTTCCAAGCTTATGGCAGAATGCCATCATCAGCTGCAGCTCATATTGAAAAATCCTACAAAAGCTTATTCATGTGGGGAACAAGAATAGGTTTTAATATGGTATTTTAACAGTTTCAATCTATATTTATCTACACAATGCAAGAAAAAATCCCATCTGTAACCGGATTACATACCTCTGAGCATGTCATTATGCATGAAAGGCTTGGTCACATCCCTGCGGCAGTCTTTCTCAGCCCCCGTACCTTTCCTTACAATGGTCACCAAGGCTGCCAGCCAGGACTCCTTGTAAGGTGTCTGCCTAACGTACCCTTCCCTTCTAAGGCTGTGCTTGGTGGGGCCAGCTATATGCCGGTCTCATCCACGGCTCTCTTATCAGCACCAAGGACAGTGCCTGGAGCAGGGCACTGAGCACTAGACCCATGACAAAACTCCGGGGCTTCTGGAGATGATCAACATGGTACAAACAGAACGAAAACCAGCAGTAAAGTCACCGACTATGTTCTAGAAATGGATCTAGTTTTACAAACCAATTTAAGACAGAGGACGTCCTCCAGGAGATTAGTGATAACCTGACTAGTAAAAAGCAAATCATCTTTCGTGCGACCCTTTTCGGTCTATTGAAAAGAACTTTATTTTCTTTATGGGAGCAGCACAACTTTAAAACGATGAAAAAACAGAGGTAAGTTTGCA